AACACTCCATGACAAAATTCAAGAAAAATTCTTGCTATGCAATAAAAATTCCTAATGGTTATAAGATAACAGTTCAGGTGAAACCTATTGGATTCCTCACAGTCAGGCTCACTTCACCTGAACCTGACTTCTCCCTGATTGTGATGATCTCTGTCTTTTAGAACGCATCCAAACACCACGCTTCAAAATGTCTCAGTTCCTCTACTTTCTCTTGAATATATTCAAGACTATTATTGCTCTGACATGATTCACACTTTTCTTTAAAAGATGAGTGCATATCATGAGATCAAGGGATGCTTTATATATGTTAGTTTTGGCATTATGCATGCACGATGATAACTAAACAGGGAGAAAATTCGGCAATGACTACCAATTCTAAAGTATGTAAATTTCATGGTATTATTTAAAGCATGGATTTATGCTAACGTTTAATCAATTGTATATGATGGAGAAAGGCCTCTCTTCAAAAATTGCATATAGCTGAAACTGATTTTTTTTCAGAAAAAAAAAGGTTTTATAGCTGTGCTAGACAGAATCAGCAAAGAAGAGTGAAAAATAATGTTTCAAAAGAACATAGCAATCAACTGTCTCTAATGAGAGCATTTGTGGTTGCTTCTGTAGATTTCAACAAAAAGTAACATTGGAGTGAAATAAAAAAGTAATTGTTTTATTGTAGGAATAGGAGCTATGATACCAAAACAGAAAGAAACACACTCCACAAACTGAAGCTTTAAAATGTCATGTCATGGGCACAAAAATGCCAGAAGAAAGAATAAAAAAGAAATGGTGACTGGTAGTTTTAGCTGAACTTGGATAAAGTGTTAAGCAAATATGCAAATTACTACACTATGGTCAGAGTAGTGGATACTGCTAAATAAAGAAAATGTGAACAAAAACTATCATCAAAGAAATTACTGAATGATCAAATCATTTCTATCAAGGCTTCAGAGTTCGGATGGATTGATGAAATGCTGATTTATCAAATAAAAAAAGAAAATGTATTCATGAATTCATTTTCAATATTTCTATAACACATGCATACCCTGACTTTAACAAAGAGGAGATTAATTTTATTATAATTCATTAGTAAGTAATCAATGTTTAAGTTTTTGTAGATATTCCTATAGAATAAGAAATGGGAACCCCTGATGCGTAAAGCCTTTCCACCATGGACAGGGATAGCTATCAGTTTTGAGTTGTATGAGAGCAGCACAAGGTACTACACAGGAAGATAGCTGGAATTTGATGATATGCCTAGAATATATGTGATCATGGGCTAGAGGTGATTTTGGAATGCAGAACTGATAGAAGAAGACAGGCAAGCTAGTCTATATTCAATGTCGACTATGTAAAAGGAACTCATCAAGGACTCTCCAATGCAGAAGAAATCAAGGCAGCCATCAGCAGCCCATGGCTCAACAGTGGAAGATGGCACATGGGAATGACAAAGGATCTTCAGAGAATTAGAATAGTTACAAAAGCAAATGAGGGGAAGATCCATGAGATTAATATGAGGTCAGTTACCCATATGGCCAGTTGCTCATTTATTTTCCAATATGAACCAAATTTACCAAAATATTGTAACATAAAACATCATTAAGCTGGACTTAATCAAATGGTACTTCTACATATGTAATGTACAGGATGAAAAGACTTACCATTCTTAAGCAATAACATGACAGAAGTCACTATCTTCCTTGTTCCTCATTGGATTTGTTCTTTTTTTTTTCAACAAAATAGACAAATCTTTATTCAAACTAACCAAAAGGCAGAGAAAGAATGTTCAAACTAACAAAATCAGAAATGAAAAGCGAGACATAACAACAGATATGAAAGAAATCCAGAGAATCATTAGGTCATGTTTATTATTATTATTATTAAAAATTTCCACCTCCTCCCCGCCTTCCATTTCCCTCCCCCTCCCCGCTACACCCCTTCCCCTCCCTCTCCAGTCCAAAGAGCAGTCAGGGTTCCCTGCCTTGTGGGAAGTCCAAGGTCCTCCCCCCTCCATCCAGGTCTAGGAAGGTGAGCATCCAAACTAAAGGAATTTGTGGTTGTCTACAAGATTTTCTTTGTTTAATCTTAGTTTAGAGTAATTTTCTCTTTTCAGTGTGAGCATGGCCTAAATTTTGAGACAATATTTCTCTCTGAATATGTGTGTATATGTATATATGTATGTATATGTGTTTGTCTGTATGAGTGCATGTACAAGAGGGGGTGGGGGCAGAACATGAATAGATGTTTGTGATAGTGACTATTGAAAACTTTACAAAATTTAGAATGGAAAACATGTGACAGAGGAACAATTCCCCAATCTTGGGAAAGTCACCAGACTCCAAATACCCAAGAGGCTTTTAGAAGACAAAATATATGAGAAGAGCAGAAAACTTTCAACTGAACATGGTAGTCAGGTAGCTGTGATGTAAAGAATCTTCATTTAGACAGATTAAGAATCAAGTCAAAAACTTGTGTTTGCACATGGCAATATTAACCCCTTTGATTTTCATCAGGCAGGTTTAGACCTCAAGTCCTGCATTCCTGAAGACTACACCCACTCTGTGAGAAGAGATGACAGTCTAGTCTTCAAAACTGTGACCTAAGTGTTTGATTGCATCTCTTCTTCAACCATGACTGAGCATAAGACTACACTTTCAGTAGATGGGGTAGATTATAAATGACTGGAACATGATTTCAATATCATTTAAAAAGTGCTAATACAGTTGATACAGGAAAGGAAAAAAGTTGAGAACAGGGTTCAGGGGAAGTTAAATGTGGCAAGATTTGTACTCTGACCAATCTAGGATTTGCAGTGGAAATGCTGACCACATGAAAGATGTGTCGGTTATGAGCAAATGAAAAGCTATAAACTGAGTAACAGTCCTCCATAGGGTAGAAAACAAGAGAGGACTTTCTATTCAACTCCCAGCTGCAGCACAAAGATGTCTTAGAGGGAGGGACAGCACATCAGATAAAATCAGCAGGTTGGCCAATATTGCCTTTGAGCAAGGGAGGGCATTACAGAGGACCTGAGGACATCTCAAAGGAATCTTAAAGGAAAGGCATATTGAGTTTTCTCAATTTGCCCAGTAGACTAAATTCCATGGCTTTCTAAAATCATTGTGGACTAAAGTCAGCACTATTAGGAGGAGGAGATAGATTGGTGAACATAAAAATGATACTGCTTGCCCTAGGGGTAGGCAATTAGCTCTGCATCAGAGAGTACTCTACGTGCAGTTCTCTCATGTAGATAGGAATGCTGGATGTGAGTGTGCAACAGGGACTCAAGCTACAAAGGAGGGTGTGAGTGTTCTCTGGAACCTGTGAAATTTATGTCAAACTTCTATGGTTGAGAAAAGGGGAGTTTGTAAGGAGGAGATTACTCATGCAGACCAGGACCCTTCCATAAAACACTTGGCACACAGAGCTCCATGGCCTAGGGCCAAACAAGAAATTCTCAAAAGGTGAAAGATATCTGGAGGGGAAAGATATTTTTCAGGTCTGAATGTTTGTTGCTTCACTTTGGCCATTAGCCAGATAGCATCTCTTTCTAATCATATGTCAGAGTTCCAGGTGGAGCATCCCAAACAGTTCATAAAGCTGTATGTAGACTGTAGGATTGAAAAAGAAGTAACAATGACATCTATGCTACTCTACAAAACCATATACTTTGGAAGAAACAACTGATATATGCTTGAGGATTTATACTGTATAGCTCCAATGTCAAGATGGGATTAGTGTCCATGTAGATGCAGAATTAGGAAGTGAATATATGTTTTCTTGAAACAGATAACTGTAGGTCTATGGAAAGGAAAGTCTGCAAAACTTCCATTGCATAAATCCAACCTCTATACACTTTACTCATTTGAGAGAGAATCTGAAAGAATATTAAAGATAACAGTTAAGGAATCTATGAGAGTGTACATACATGAAAAGAAAGGGATTCCTGAGAACCATTGGATTATTGTATTAAATCCCTGAGATCAGGGTGAGTTACTGTTCCAAGAGATATTGGACAGTCTGGTTTCCAAGGTCCCGCACACCATTCTTACAGCTACATCTCCTTTTGAACATGCACCAGAACTAACTGATTGGCCTAACTTTTTAGGCAGCAAACACACTGTTTTAAGAATATGAAAAATTTTGGTTGGCACTAAGGTAGAAGATCCTTGCATGTCAATTGGCTGTCAGAGTCTGGAAGCTCCTATGGAGTTGTCTTTTGGAGAATTGTCCAGTGATACTATGGCTCAAGTACTAATGCTAGCAGCAAACATACAAAACTATACTTATTAGGGAAAGAGTGTCACAAATGGCTTTTGGTGCAATGAACAAACCTGATATGATTAAGGCCAATGCTAAGGAAATAAACCACATTTTGTATTTTAAGCCAATGTACAATCATTTACTTGAGAAGTCATAGACTCTCAAGAAGAGTTAAAGATGTTTGTCTGTTAAATATATTTGATGTCTTTCAAAATGACTTCTAAACATCTAGTTTAGTCATGTAGATTACTATGTCAGTTTAGTTCAAAGAGAAACACTCTTCACAGTAGTTAGAGATTTCTGGCAGAGATTCATGATAACACTACTGATAATTTACTAATGTTATGGCATGATGGTCAAATATTAAATAAAGATTCCCTCTTTGTCCATAAACATTGTAAAAGAGATGATATACAGAATGTAACTATCTAAGGAGGGGGGTATACTTATGAACAAGAGTTTCCTCCTGGTCTGACGGACCATCTGTCACCAGGCAGCTGAGATGGCTTCAGAGATATCAAAAACAATTTGGGTAAGAATCAACACGTAGAAAAGAAGTAAAAAAAAAAAAATCCAGACTCAGCTAAGTATGTGGTAATAAAACTGCTTGCATTCCCTGAAGATAGACAGATGTAGTTTAGTAATGAAGGATTCTCCATGTGACTTCTTGTTGTCCAGTGACTGTGCATGCCTTTGGGACTATCAACTAGAATAAATAGGAGGAGGAAACTAGCCAAATGTATTATTCCAGTGAGCCAGTTCTCCAGAGACAGCACTGCTCCTCTTTGGAAACTTCTCAGAGATGGAACGGCCCTTGAGTCAACTTCATGTCTGTAAGTAAACTCGCTTCTATGTATCTCTAAATAAAATATCCAGTTCAGTGCTTCAATGATTTGCTTTATTGGATATTTTTCTTTGAAATCTTTGGTGTTATATCTGGTATGAAGAGATATTTGTTGATAGGTTTCCAGGAGACTCAGCGTGGACTTTCTAAGATTCTTTAAAATTATTTGACTTGAAAGCAACTGTACAGGGAATAAGTGACAATCCGGTCAGTAGTTATCAACATCTTTCACCTTGACACATGTTACAAATGTTCAGGAATAAGCTGTGCTATCTCTATTGAAGTGAGAGAAGGGCAGTGTTGGAATCCAATGAGTAGAAATATGGGGAACATTAAACAACTTCCAATACATAGGGCATCTTCCAGAAAAAAAAATCACTCAAAAGGACAATGTTTTATATTTAGGAAAATCGGAAATTATCAACATTGTAAAGTCAGTGTGTCCAATTCGTCTTATCTCATGGCAGAAGAAACAAAATTATGATCCAGTGTATTGTTATAAGAGTTTTCACAATTGAATAAATCTAAAGAATCTTTAAGTTCAGAAACCTGAAGTGGACAAATGGCAGATTGTGACTTGTATCCCTTTTCAGTTTAGCACAAGTCAAATAACATCATAAAAAGAAGAGTAAAGAGTGGGAACCAAGTGCCATATTTTGTAGGTGATATTTTGTAGAACAATGGGGATTTCTTTTGAAATAAAATAGGAAGATAATTTTACATTTTTGAGAATTTCATAGATGAAGAATATTATATTATTTCATTCTTCTAACTCTTCAAAAACTTTTTCCTATGCTCCCTCTAAAGTTTAGGGCCATTTTTTCTTTAATTATTATATGTGCATTTGTGCATACATATAAAGATAGAAACATCCTGTTGAATCCATTTAGTGTCACTCAGTAGTCTATGAATTCGGAGCAGAACAATTGATATTACATCAGCAAAGGACATTTTCCATAAGTAAACATTCTGGACCTCTAGCTTTTATATTGATTCTGCTTCCTCTGCTTATGTTCCTTCAGCCTTAAGTTTTGGCCTTGTACTGCTTAATGAGTAGAATTTTTAGATTGAAGTCAATCCTGATCATTGTCAAAACTTTTAAATGTGAGTGTATCTAGAGACAAAGACAGTAGGGCAAGTCATCTTCTAGAGCTTCTATTATAATGTCCCAATGACAAAGTGTATCTAGACAAAGATTGGCCATTAGCTCTGAGAAAACTAAGTCTCAAAACTGAGACTATGTCCTCTGCCAGAAAGATACATGGTGTGAACCAAGGGGTGATCTTTCTTTGATCAAAAGAGCAAAATCCTGATTGTTGGTCTCCTGCTTTCACCAATAGCCAATAATAAGCCATTAAGAAAATCATTAAGTCATGTAAGTCTTTTCCTTCATGAATACATTCACATTATAATCATGACAATCTAACCTATTCACTCAGAGAATTGTTATGAAGATTAACTTTAAAGAAAATAACCTAAAGTTTTTGACGAATTAGTATTCTGTTGATGTTTTACCAAAAATTAGCAATTCCAAGCTAACATCCCTTTTAGGACAGCATTCTCTTCCTCTTCTGTTTTAATAGTCATCATGTGTTATGATGCAGCATGTAGAGAAAGCAAACAGATAGGCTGTGCTCTCCTTGTCTCCTCATTTTCCAAAATGCTGATATAAGGCATGAAGTTTAAAAATTACAAATTCTTCAAGAGTTTGGTAACTCACAATGAGCTTAAACTCCAAAGACACTAAACCATCTAAAGAGAATGATTTAAAAACACTAGTTGAGAGTGAAATTCAGTTCCAGACATTTGTAAAATCCAGAATCACTTCAGGAAACAATACAAAATAATGGGAAGCCACCTCTCTCTCAAACTATTATACAGGAGAATATCATTAACTGCCAGAGTATTCACAGTGATTTTATCTGTCATTCCAGATATTCCAATAGCAAATCTTGCAGTAGAGAAATCTTTGCCCAGATAAACCTTTTCTGAAGAGGTTGAAGCTTGAAAAATTCATATTACTGAATCATCCCTAAGTGACTCTTGTTTCTATGTAGCAGGGACACTCTTACTGCTGCTGGTGTCGAGCCTACTCGTATGGGAGAAAGCTGCATCAGTTCCCGAGTGTTACACAAAAGTGGGGGGCTGCTGGGACCCGCTTGTGGAAACCTTTAACAGTGCCATCAAACGAGCAGAAACCATCCGGGATGTGGCTCAACAAATGCATCAAGAGTTTGTAAGTGCCTTAACCTTCATGCTAATGTCTGAACCGCACTAGGAACTGAGAGACTATCATGACACAAATATTAGAAAATAAATTTCTAAAGGACATGTATTAGTAAAGGAAGTACCAACTACTGAAACATGGACAGGGTCAAAGAGATAGTTTCATGAAATTTCAAAGAATCTAATGGCATTTTTTTACATTTCCTCTGATTTTATTTCTCTTAAAAATAAAAATATAGGGTAGAAACTCTTAATATGTGCTTGAGTAAGATATTCATTATCTTATATTTCATTCAGGATCACAAATTTGCACTGTTAATATTCATTTAGCACTATAGAAAATGTACAATATGTATTTGGAACAGAGATAACCTAATGCATGTGAAAAGGCAAGAAAGAGAGAAAGGAAGGAAGAAAGGGACTAAAGAAGGAGAAATTGAGAGAAAGGAAGGAGGGGGAGAGAAAGAAGGAGGAAAAGGAGGAGGAGGAAGAGAGAGAGAGAGAGAGAGAGAGAGAGAGAGAGAGAGAGAGAGAGAGAGAGAGAGAGAGACTTTCAAGAAGTCCCTAAATAGTAGAATTGTGGTTTAAAGATTTTCATTGCTGGTCTTTGTTCAGTATCAGGGCAGAATTAGAAGTGGTTTCTTTTGTTTCTTGCTGATCACTGCAAGTCATTCATTTTTCAAGGTCAGAAAACACAAAGAGAATATAGGCAAACCTTCAGTATGATGGACATCACTAGAATGTGTCTGTTTGAAAAAAAAAACATGTATCCATGTTGGTTTTTTATTGACTAGATTTTTTTTCCCTTCACATGACGCAGTTCCATAATGAATTCTTTTCCAGTACATTTAAATATCTGGTAAGTACCCTACTTCTTTCCAGCTACTTTCCCAAATGAGACCATGTCAATCATCTCAAGTTAGACGAGAAAGCCTTACACTGAATTTTTACTTGCATTTCTGAAATGACAGTTTTTCTACATCCTAGCCTTCATAATAGTCTATTAACCTTTCTTGAATTAGCTGATTATTAGAAAAAGTAAGGTATCATAAATTTACATTTAAGTAAATTTAATATATAATTAATAATACATTGAATAGTAAAACACTTGAACATTAATTGTTTTGTATATTTTGATTCTTCATTGTTTAGAGTTTCCTACAAAATACTCTATATTTCATGTGTAATTTTGTTACAATGAATACAATTTTATTCTAAAAGTATTATAAAATTTTTACTACACAGCTATATGTATTCAAAATTCATTGTTAATTGAATAAATTTGAAATTCTAATGTCTGGGTAAGGAAATTTCAATATGTACTGACAGAAAATAGGAATACTAATAAATATGTGTTATGGTTTGCTGCTGAAATACTAGAGAAAGATAATAATTAAAACGCTTACTTCTTGATAAATTTGTTCCTTTTTTGCCTTCCAAATAGTAACTTTTAGGAAGAGTGGGAAGACAGGCAAATAAAAGAGGAGTTAAATGGTTCAAAAGTTAGTGGATTGGCAAATTAGGCTGCAGATCCAATAGACACAGTTTTAAGTGATGGGCACTTTCTTGATTCTTTGATTTTTGTTTTTATGAAATAATTATTGTTAAAAATTACATATACATCAAAATGCATAAATTATTCTTGTCATGAAGTCATCTCTATAATTTCTGAGCTCTCACTGAAGTTTGTTTTAAACTGCAGCTTGAACTAATGACGAGGAGGCATCCAACTGTTGTGAGGGCCAGACTAAACTGCCACTCTAACGCCACAGTACATCCAGATCTGGGAGCTGAACCCACAAATATCAATGTAAGTCTCCATCTTGGGTTTTCACTAAACATCAGAAGCGATACAGTGGGCTTCTGGTGCTACAGTTGCTTCAGCCATTATGATTGATGCGGTGATCATGCATGCAGAAAACAATGGAGTTCAAGTATGTTTTAAAAAGTTACAATATATTGTCATCAAATTATAAATAAAATCAAATAACTAATAACAGTGTAGCAGATTCTTAAATAGTCCATTTAGAGGATGGCATTTTATCAATGTCTTGCCCCTGAAATTTCGCTCACTACTTCTTAGGACACTTTGAGCTAAACGGGCTATTTATGTTTATAAACTCACTTTTACTTGTGACGATAATGTACCTATCTTCATTATATATTGCTGATGGGTTCCTCATTGTGACATTCTACAGAACTGAACACTACACCTTCTCTATTTTCAAATATGTCTTGGTTCTAATATCATTTTTTACCTGTCTCATCACTCTGTGATTCTCTATGCCTTAATCGAAAGGCAGAAGAGCAGAATAGGCCTGTAAATACAATTATATGTTTCTTAGGATGTAACGAAGTTCCAATTCATAATGAGGATGTCCACATATTACAGCAGTTTATATTTTATGATAACAATCATCTCCTCATCTCCCTGCAATAGCAAATCTGAACATTATTTAAATTTAATATTAAATGACAACAAGGAGGACAATAGGACAAAGATATAAAGAAAATGCTTTTTAAAAGCCACAATATTGCTAAACATGTTGAAAAGCATTCTCTTAGCATTTCTGTATTTAAAACTTGCCAAAAATTAACAGAAGGTGATATTAAATGTAAAAAAGGAAAGGAAGGTTTTGAAAAATTGTATTTACACTTGTAGGAAAATTAAGAATTCAAGTGTGCACTTCATCAAACCACAGATCTCAGGCTTAGCCACATAAGATCATGCTCCCATGTGTTGCCATCACCATTTGCCTGCTCCTTTTCCTAATGCCCTTTACATCTTTCTATTGTAATAAGTAGGCTCTAGTCTGCTCTCATTTTCATGACCATGGGAGATACTAGCAAACATCAATACAGAAATAGTGTAAATCAGATATGAACATTAAATACTGGAGGGGCAAATTTCTGTTGTGATTCCCATTGATTCTGCTATTAAACCCAATGTTCTTCATATATACACAGTTTTTCACCTGTACATGCCAACAAATATCCCACTATCTCAGAGGCAAGTGGACAGCACATAATAAGAACCATGCTGTTCACTCTATTCTTGTTCTGTTGTCTTAAACTCACCTAGAAATCATAAATGAGTACATTAATGAATGAATGATTTATTGATGTGTACTAATCCTTGAGTGAAATTATTTGAATCATTTTCCCTGGCTGGTGGCATCTATCTTTCCTGAGTCAAATTTTATTGACCTCTATTTAGTCACAGCAGGACCTGGTTTACCAATTGATAAGCAAAATAACCAAACAATGAAGATCTCAATAGGGAGTCAGCTGTTAGAATTTCATAGGGAAAACAAACATGAGGATATAACCTCTGAAAAATGCCTATTTATAAGTGTCATAATTTGTTTTATTTTGTAGACAATAGACTAATTGCTTAAATTTTATATTGCCACACTATGTAACATCTATACAATATGCAAGATACATAAATAATAAAAATATGTTTGAGTTCAGTTTCTTTCCATAAGCTTTACAAGCAACTCACTTGCTGTATTGAAATTATTTTAATTCAATGGTTCTGTTGTGTTTTCTTAGACCAAAAAATTTTTGAAATCATTGATCCATTATATGGGTGCCTGGCGCATGCCTCTGTACCATGTCATGATTGAACTGAAAGCCATGCAAAATGTCCCAGAAAGTATACTTTCAAAAGTCAACACTATTGAAGAGAACAACAGAGAACTCCTGGATGACCTTAGGTGGATACTCACCAAGGTAAGCAATTTTCTGTTAGTTATTCTCATTCATAAAAGAGGTAGGTTGCATAATTTTTAAAAATATTCTGAAATAGTCTACTTTGCCAGAGTGCAACGTAGATATCTCATCTTGTGTTTAGTCTTCTCCTAGGACATTGATTCTCACTCAACATGTAGGTCATGAAGCCTTTGGGGGTCCTATGACATCTTCACAGGGGTCACTTAAGACCATTGGAAAATTTGGATAGTTATATTATGATTCATAACAGTAGCAAAATCACAGCTTGACCTAGCAACAAAAACAATTTAATGGTTGAGGATCACCATAACATAACATATGTTAGAGGACACCTTTCCCAAGAGGAACAGAAGGAGCTCAGCTATTCTCACAGTCATCCCTTGGCTCTGCATATTAACTCACCATCTTATCTTCATCACGTGTGAAGTTTACATACACAAACTACACGGAGAGTAGATTTAGTTGAAATGCATAAAAGAAAAGTGCTATATAACAGCCTCTATGAAATATAGAGAACACATAAAAGTTTCCCGAGTGAGAAACTGATCACCACCCCGTCCACTGTCCAAAAAGTCAAAAACAAATTTCCTACCTTTCCTTTGTTTGTTTCTGAAGGGGAATTCCTTCATCGCAATCAATTACATGTTAGGGCAAATGCACATGCATGAGTTTTAACCATAGTTTTTGTTTTTTTTTAAATATTTATTTATTTATTATGTATTACAATATTCTTTCTGCATGTATGCCTAAAGGCCAGAAGAGGCACCAAACCTCATTACAGATGGTTGTGAGCCACCATGTGGTTGCTGGGAATTGAAATCAGGACCTTTGGAAGACCAGGCAATGCTCTTAACTGCTGAGCCATCTCTCCAGCCCCTTAACCATAGTTTTTACAAGGCTAACTGCTTAGGGGTCTCCTGGCCAAGATAAATAAAAACCCATACCTTTAATGGAAGCATCATTTCTGTATGTATTTCTGTGGTGATTAAGCATGTAAGAAGCAAGGAGAAAGAAACGTTACGAATATAATCAACAAGAAACTGACTACCATTTTGATTTTTAGGTATTTCCTACCGCAAAGATAAAGGAAAAAGATCCTGTCTGGGAGTTTCTTTCATTCCTAAAATCAAATGACAAACAGAATAAATGTTTGGCAATGTTTAACCTTTCCTACTGCCTACGCACAGATATATCACACACTGTACGTCATCTGAGAACATTGAAGTGTCGAATAACTGGGAAAGACTGCTAAGTGCTCATCTACCCTGTCTGCTTTGGAGATGGTCCATAACAGTCCATTACCAAGAAGTTTCTTTTAATGTTATACCTTGTGAATGTATGTGTGTGGATAACAGGCCACTTTTTGAAAAATAAAAACATTCTTATTCTCAAATCTAAAAAGTCTATTTTTCTTTTGTTCATTGAATAAAATATCTATCATATTAAGGTTAGGTTGCCCCAATCAAATTCATCACAAATAATAGATGTTCCGTATGCCAAAAACATTCATGACTTACTTCACAGGAAAGAAATGAAGCTCCAGTTACTCAAGCAAAGTATAAAACTCTCAATTAAATAATCTATGTACCATAATACGAAATGTAAATTTTATAATGCTTCATGAAATCAAGACTGTCCTTAGGGAAGAATGTTCACTGTGAAAGCATAGCCAAGACAATACAGTTGCTGTGTGATTCCACAGTCTAAAGACAATTTGGGAGGAAGTGGGGCAAGGAGTAGATACAATAGAGACATAACAAATGCATGAATGAAATTTCCAGCCAATTTTAAAAATTAGAAATTGCTTTAGGATGCAGATGTCAGTTGCTCAAGATCTCTTCATTGTGTCCTACTATAAATTTACCTCTCCATTACATGATCATAGGCGTGTTCTGCAAGTTTTCATTTGTCTGTGTCAAACATGCCCTTTTTTGCTCTATGTTCATTTTATTTGAACTAGATATAGTCTTCATATAATCTGTGTCTTAAAATCATAGTCATTTTAAGATGTTGATACCCTAGGAACATCTGCATAGAACTCTGATGAAGCAATAAATTGCTTTTCTTTCTGATCAAGATAGGGAACTTTTAACTTTCTATTATCAAAAGCTATTTTTTATTCCGTTCCAATTATACCCTAAATGTTGTGGAAAGCTGTGCTTTGATATTTTTGAGTCAAATATGTGCTTAAAATAGCACCAGTTACTTGTTGTACTTACTGATTTCTTATAGTGCTATATATTCACTAAATTTGTAGCTTCTTTTGTTGAATATCTGAGATATACATGCATTATAGTATAGACTGCACATTGTTACATATTTAGTCTTTCTCATATATCAAACTATCAAAATCATCTCTCATGATCAACTCAATCTAAATTGGCTACAAAAATGAATGAAAATATATCAAACCATGAATAAAAAATGGAGATTAGAGGGACCACCATATCTGGCTCAGCTCTTCTACACATAGAAACACTGATCACTGAGTTCTTCGGCTATGTGCTTTGGAAAATTAATAGTGCACGTCTAAGAGAGGTTCTTACTACTTCCAAAAAATATATTTCAATCCAAAATCAGAAATAAATTTTGGCTGTTGCATCATAAGTCACTAATTGCATATTTTTTTTCTGTCTTCTGATCTCTAAATCTCAAAAAAAATGCAAAGGAATGCAAATCCAGAAGGAGGGGAAGAGACATTGTAGGACCTGTTCATCTCTGCCTTCCCTGCTTTCTAACTTCAACCACTTGAGGAGAGAGCAAAGTTCTAAAGAACATTAATGTGAACAAAAATGGATATGAGCCTTGGAAAAACTTGTTCTACTCAGCATGAATTGAACATCTGGAATTTGTCTAAGATGATGCTTCAGAGACAAGAATTCAGAGGAATGTGGTTGAAGACAGTTGGAGAGAGTTTCAGAGTCATTTCACACTTGCGGTCTAGCACACTTCAAATTATTGCAAATTTTCACAGTATTAACAGATAAAGCGAGCGCATGCTGCCTATTCTCTCAATCCGTATTCTGGAAACAAATCCGATAGGGACTACTTGGCATTTAACATGTAACTGCTAAATTCAATGCATTTTGATGGATTTTAGATACGGTAAAACAATAACATTGTTTTTTGCTGATTCTAACAATTTTACATGTATTAATATTCTGGAAACGCGAAGAAAGTTGTATAATGTGTTTGTTAGGTTCTTAACTTCTGTTATTTGTCAAATATATTGTTTTTGCATAAAATCAACAAAAGAAATTTGGACCAATTGACTAAGAATTTTGAAATTCCAACAGTTTTTATTTTTAAAGAAAAGAGGGGAAAACTGGAGCCTTGTAGTATTGTCTTATCTAGGGGCATCTCAGAAACAGATGGCATAAATTTGCTGTTAGCATTTGTTTTGAATAATTTGGTACTTGAGGACCTCAAGAAAAGTGGTTACTCTGCGGGAATCTCTGAGCAGGCAGCGGATCATGTTATAAAAGGCAAAACAGCGAACATCTTCATTGCTTGACTTCAAGGATGACAGCCCAGACCAGACAGGGTAGCTCTCATCATGTTTCTCTCCAATCTAAACATGATCACCAAAAATATAATCAGCCAAGTATTAGTTGTATTTTAGTATTTTAGATGCCTATTCTTTCTAAATATAGATTTATGAAAGTACTTGTAAAGTTAAAAATCATAAACTAAATATAGATTTTCATGGAGCTACTTCATCAAACCCAAATGAATACATTTTCTGGCACATGTAAAAAAAGCTAGTAAACTGTTCTTTACAGGAGTTGATAGATGGACAACCAGCAAGGTGTTACTTAATTTTTTACATGAGTAACATAGGGGCAATGGAGGAATTGATTTCATTTTTATGATTGAACAAACTTTGTGTGTCCTTACCATAGACTCAATCTTGCTTTTTTTCTACTTTAAGGAATTTGGACATTAAACCAACTTCCCTTCTGTTTTTAACCAAACCAGTTGTCCAAATACTGTGTGTACAATAAAGCCTAGAACAAATGAGGATTGCTTTGGATAGTTCAAGAGGTAAATATTCAGAGGATTATTGTGTTAGAACTATTGAGGTAGTTATGTATCTGTCTTTATACCCAGGAAAGATACTTCGGAGAGAGAAAATTCTGCCTTCTTCTGATACCCCTGGATAAGGGACTCAGAGTGAAGTATTATTGAGAGGTGTCCGTGTGTTGCTAGTATCCCTTTTGATAAAAAGGCTATAACAGATATGAATGCATAAAAATGTTTCTCTTAGGAATCTCATAAGCATCATATTTTTCAATATTTTACTTTCTTATTTTTGAGATAATATAATTACATTATTTCTCTCTTCCCATTCTTACTTAAAAACCACCCATATATTTTTTCTTGCTATTTTGAAAATTCATGGCCTTTTATCGATTTTTACATTTACATATTTGTATCTACCTATGTTTCCCTAAATATAAAGCCTAATTATTCTGTGCAATATTACTCATATGTATATTTTAAGTGATGACCATTTGGTATTGGAAAACCAACTGAGAAACTTTTACTTGGAGAATCTTATTTCTCCTGTTCTCAACATCACTTAGCTGCTTGTAGTTGCTTGGTTTCTTTGGGTAAGACTGAGGCCTCATTGACCCTCCTTTGAAGCTCTGATCACATTTGTATGTTTATTGGAATTGCCCTTGTTCATCTCTTGTTTAGGAAACCATGTTGCTGAGACTCTGTGGATGATATTTATGAGATTCCTAGGAGAGACATATTTACGCAAACTTCCTGATTCTATGTGGTTCATAAATCTTTCCTCCCCATCTTCTTCAATGTTCCTTGAACCTTAGATGTGGGAATATTTTGTAGATGTATCCATTGGAACTGGACTTCACAACTCTTCATTTTGACTGGTTACGATTTTCTGTAATCGTCTGTATGAATTACATTGATTTTCAATTTTTGGGCAAAGTAAAACATTTAAAAATACATTAGTCATTACAAAGAACTCCTCATTTAAGTATGAAGAAAGCTAGTCAGCAGGCTGCTCACCTCACGGAGTATTGTTTTAACTCCCACCATGAGTTGCCCAACTTTTCCCTGAATTGTTCTGGCTTCGGAGAGGATAGCATTAGGGTCTCCTGGCATGGCAGACATTTCTTTCACAAGATGATTCAGAGGGTCATTCCAGGAATACAGTAGATCGCATAACAGTTTCAGTAGAACTTCTGGCTAAGTAACCATTGAAATAGGATTAGATAAGGAAGCTTTGCTCTAAAAAACTAAAATATTTCTGTAGCTATTCATATTATTTTATATAGGATACAATTTGTATATGTGAAAAATAACATTGACATTATTCTGAAATTTTGTGGAAGATTAAATTCAAAACTGTCAGTGGAGTGCTCTATGAAGTGTCTAGCAAAATAATCACTCTCAATAAATAATTTCTCTTGCTCAAACTTCCACTGTTAATTTTTATTCTTTATTTATAGCATAATTATTTAAATAAGAATTGTAGACCTATATTTGACATTAAGCAAAACATGAAGAATGAACTGTATCTTATAGATGTGTAGGGATATATGATAATGTTCAGCTCAATCCCGAGATGTGTTATGGCAGGGAATCATATATGAGAGATGATAACCATCATAAATTGGAGCTGATAATGATATGTAGACTTGCCATCATACTTAAAGGATGATTTTATCCCTAGAAATAATGTACAGCATTCATTAGAGTCTTATTCTCAGCTGGTTTTCAGTTACGAAATAAAGGTAGATCATTTAGGAATTAACACGTAGTGAAAGAACTTAACAGAAATAAACATGTCGTTATGTACTGTGCTGTCAAATTTGGCTCCATCAGTAACCATGAGAAATAAAACTGCATTTGCACTGTATATGATTACATTAATGAATATTCAACCAAGAATGTTAATGTTAATTGAAATGTTCCTTCATGTAATGACTAAAAATCCAGGAGTTTAAGGTGGTAAAGGATCTTCTCCATGTAAAATTAGAGATCCTCTAAACACAGCTTAGTATATTTCACTTGTAATTTACTAACCCTAGAGTATGGCTTCATTAGTTCTCTATGATCACAAATAAGGAGCCTCTGATCACATCCACTATATGTAGAAATGCTATGTTGCTTCAGTTGATCTGGTAAAGAAATACAAAAGAATAAACACTTACTTTGCTTTCTAGAACTTGGTTCTTGTTTCCTGGGGTATCAAGAAAATCAGAGGGACAGATGTCAGGGATCCTGTCATTGTACCTCTTGCCTTGGGCATATTGTTTGTCCTGGACAGGATGAAATATTAAATAAGTTAGAGATTGGAAATTATATGAAGTAGTCAATGACCCAAATTCAGATACATTTGATAGATGATATTTAATTTAAGCTCAACAGAAGAGAATTGATGCCTAGTAATGTAAACCTCTCCAACTATTTGTAAATGAAGGTGTCTGAGAACCTATTGTTGGCAGTTCTTAATCTAACATATTCTGTAACTGTATTCTAAATTAATATCTTTATACCCACAGATATGATTAATCTCATCACTTACCAAAGAAGGTTCTTATTGAAATTGATGAAGACCATTATAGAGATCCATAACTGATTAAAATGCAGAGAATGAGTGACTTTGAGGTTCCCAATCCCAACTGATATATCTATAATGCATCCTTAAGCCTAGAATCAGAGAAACTCTCAAAAGGGCAGTGGGGTAGAAAGCTTGCAAAGGACAGAGTCCCAGGAAACATGCTTCCTTTAGGTATGACAGGTAAAGTGAACCCAGAATGCTCAACAATATGACTGACCGAACAAGATCAACAAAATAATAATACTGGCTGACTTGTTAACGCGTACAGGAGAAATACCACACAGTTCACTCCTTAGATGAAGACCTACAGGGGATCTATGGCTGCCGAGAGAGGTAAAATCAGGTGCTTCCAGTGATGAGTACCCACATCAGTTGTTTATTCTATGTAGTTAGCCATGGATAAATGCACATATAGGCAAAGGAAAATGTGAACATACATACATATATATTTACATACATGCAAATATATATGCATGACAACAATAATAATAAACCATGAATTTGTTACAGGAGGATACCGAAAGATTTGCTGAGGAGAAAGAAGGGTAACACTTTCACAGATGCAGCATTCATGTATGAAATTCTAAATAAGAACAAGCTGCTACTGAAAAGTTGAAATTAATATCAGGAGAAAGACTACAGTTTAAAACTTGCTCTACAGTCTCATTTTCCACCCAAATAACCCTCAAACATCCCAACGTTTCCCCTTGTTTGTTATTCTCAGACTTCTTAAAAGTTGTTCATTGCAACAACAAAATTAGCAAGACTAAAAACTGCTAAGTATGTATCAACTTTATCTGGCATTTCTGACAAGTGCCATAGTAATTAAGTATATATAGTTTCTAGTTTCTAACTCAGTTTGTTAAACATCTTAATATTATAGCTCTTCTTGTTACGACGTCTGTATCTCTACAATTTCATTTACCAATGTCATTGCTAATTCAGAGTACTATTTTGCTGATGGCACCAAGTAATAAAATCTCTTGGAATAATACAGGAAATAATAAGTTAAGAGCTACTTAAGATAGAAAAATAGGAATTGCAATTATCAATATTTATTCATTAATTTGCTACAATAGATTTATTTCTTAAAGTCATTCTGTAAAACTGTTATTGTTATTGTTTTGATAGTTTGAAGGGATACTTAAGATGACTTCACATATTCAAGGCAACCCATCAGGAAATGAAAATGGCAGAGACAATAGTGTACAATATGAATGCTAGAGGCATGTGTCTGTGTGTGTTATGCAAACTTGAGTCACATTCTTACATATCCATTGATGTATGTATGGAAGTACTTATTGATTTCTATAAAAACAAGTAGCATACTATAATATGCAGCTTTCAATGTATTTTAATCATGAAGACATTATACACTTTCATTTCTATACCAGAACTCCTTGTTGCAAGCATATGAATTTGAATTGTTTAAAACGGATTCACTGTATTTGCAGATCTATAAAGAAAAAGAAATGGAAAACTTCTGATAACCTGTGTCAGTATCTCTACTGATTGTAGTTCTCTACAAAGTCATCCTCCTTTATTAGTTATCTGTAATACCCAAAGTAAAGACACCAGAGGCCAAAACACTAAATTAGTGGTTTCTAACCTGTGGATCATGGCCCCTTCAGGGGCCACGTGTCAGATATCCTACATACCAGATATTAACATTATAATTCATAATAGTAGAAAAATTATAGTTGTGAATCAGCAGCAAATTAATGTTATGGTTTGGGGTCACTACCACCTGAGGAACTGTGTAAAGGGCTAAAACATTAGGAAAGTTGAAAACCACTGCACATAATGAAGGAATAAAAATCGCGTCTTTCTCTTAGACATACATTTTATGGCCCTATGTCACAAGCGTAAATTAAAATAAAGTTAAAAAATAGAGAAGAGTATCAAAATTATTTCATTTGAGGATGTAACTGACATTTTTTAAGAATATCCTTTTCTCCTGCTAAAGGGAATAGTAGCTGCTAATTTCTTCTCCCTATGATGGCTCATTGCTTGAAATTTCCGTCATGGTCTCCCTACGTTAGGCTATACTATATCCCAACCACTAGCATGAAGGCCCATTTTAAAAGGAAGTCATTAGTTATAGGGGTACTTACAAATTCAGCGAACAAATTTGCAGCTTGTCTACTGGTGATCTGAGAAATAAAAGTGGCCAATGCAAACAGTCTCCTTAAGGACTTCCGGGTATTCCTATCCCTCTTGACACAAGTGGGTACAGAGGTCACATTCTCCCACAAAAGCAGGTAGGACACCAGGAGCAGCAGCAGTGCCCTAGCTAAAGGAGAAGAGAAGGCACTGTGAGGGCTCTTTCTCTTAGGTTGTCAACAATCACCCTGTCAATGGTAATCTTACCGGAGTGACTTTTTTACACCCTAGGTGCTTTTAGATGTGCCGGGTAATGAACATCTTCCACCGTGCAAGTTTAGTTATGCAAATATATTTACAAAGATTTATATTTTGAAATGTGTCAAAGATACTGAATTTTTAGCATAACTTCAAGACATGTTTTCTGTTTTTTCCTAACATGTGAAGCTGAACATGAATCAAGTTAAGATGACCTAATCCTACTCTTATGGTTCTTTAATGTCCTGCAGATTTCTCTTGGTTTTGAATAAGACACTCAAGAATTTTATCTGAAAATTTGTAAAGAACTTGTATTTTAGTGTCTAATATTAGAATATTTGACGAAGGCAACATGCACATTTGCTTTATCTTCATTACTTGTGAAAAATACATTACTTGCCTTTCTACTGATAGTGAGGATGAAGAGAAACTTTGTTAATATTAATAGTAATGCCCGACACAAACTTAGAAAATTGGTAGGGGGAATGTAAGGGAAACATCTACACCCAAATACTTAAAATATCAAAATATAACAAAAAGTGATGTAAAATACAGATAACTATCAATTTTATACACAAAATAAAAATATTATCAAAATTTATATGCTGCAAATTTTCAAAAATATACATACTTCGCCAAATTTATTTTAGGAGTGATATGCATATATTAATATATATATATGTACACTCCATACATATGTCAACTGAAGAATTTTTATAGTCCAAGAAGAAAGAGTCATTATTTCTTTTCTACTTCATAAAATCAAGTTCATATGTATTACTAATTCATTTTTGTTGAGATATTATTAAGAAAATAGAAACAAGTTAGCATTAGTGTGAGGTTTTGCATCACTATTTTACTTGAACCTAATTGTCAAGGTTTTGTAATACCCACATCTACTAGGCTTGCCTACATTTCTTTCCAGAAGTAGAAAATTGGTTACACTCATTCAAGACAAAGAACTCACAGTCAAGACTTCAGACCCAGAATATGTTACTACCTTCCTTCCCAATATGTTACTAATTTGACCTATAGAACCTACTGCTATCATTTCATCTCAATGTTCCTCGTTTACAAATTTTATTTTTGAGTTGAATATACCCTTTTCATGTAATATTTGGAAAAAGCCCTGGTTTCTAACCCTTAGACACGGGTAATGTCCCACAACCACTTTTTTTTTTTTTACATTATATCAATTAATACAGGACAAAATGTCTCTGGACATAGCTCCATACCTCTCTATGCCAAAATGACTCCCTTTTGAAACCCACTAATCCAGAATGTATTTTCTTTCTATATTAATGACCATAAAGTATGTCTAAAGTCTATGTGGCTTTGCTTCTCCTGGTTAGGTATGAATAAATGTCCAGTTATCCCAGGTAGGGCAACAATTATAACAAATAAATAAACTTCCCAATAACATAATGCTAAAGCATCTATAGAGGAATGTAAATGAGGAGTTACTTACAGGAAAATATTTGAGTCAAAGACATCGGCATTCCTGAAAAGTCACACCCCAGCTTCTCTGTTGACTGAGGAAATCTGTTTCAGTTTGGTTCTTACTCTGTTAGCTTTCCACCTCCTATATAGCAGAGCACATCCTGCTAGAGGGCAGAAGGAAGTAACACCTAAAAATCTATATCACGATCCTATGACCTCTAGGGTCCGGGAATGAAACCAAGTATGTGTGACTACGGTCATACGTGAATCTTTATGCTTATCTTATTTCCGGGTTGTGGTTAGTGGTCAAGATATTTTGTACATAGCCTCAGCCACCTCTGGTTCATGAATACTGATGTATTTTTATACTCAAATAGAAATAGCTATGGACAAGGCATTAACTATTTTCTTAATATAATTGCATGTTCCTGTCACCTTTTCTGCAATGCTCCATGAACTACCAGGTTCTATCAATAGGTATTTATTCTCCACCGTTTATATTTTGCAAGTCTTTATCAGTATCTGTGGTACACTGTACAGAGTTTTACTTGGTAGACAGATAGAAGAAGTAACAGGTAAACACACAGTTTGGAAGGCAACTGGTAGAAACATCGCATCTATTGAAACAAACAACTGCAGAGGCCATTCTATTAGGGATTATTCCATCCTTAGACACAAAATTTGAAGTTGAATAATACCAACTACAGGTTCTATGAGGCTAAGATGATCTTAAATTCAATGAGAAAGCAGTTTGCCAACCTTATAACAGCTGTATCTCTATTGGCTTAGGGCTTACATCTTACATGTCTGCGTGTTCCATTATCATCTTTTGCACTGGTCTTATAATGACACTTTATTCCAGCAACTAATATGGCGCCATGTTGCATGATGAAGTTTCTTTAGTACTAAGAAAATGTCCACTCATTCTCAGTCTAATTTCTTCATAACATGCAGCATGAATATGTAGATTCAGCAATAAGTTCTTACCATTTAGTTTTGACATGCACCGAAATTATTGACAATGCCTCTATGGGTTGGAATCCAAAGAGTCTACCTGAGCCAATAACTCAATGGAAGTTAACCAATCTGGTCTCAGGATTTTTCAACAACCTAATAGGCTTTGGTGTTACCTGTTTCTACCATGAAGTGTTCCGTCTGGCATATTCTCAACTGGTATGATTACTATTCTTTTTGGACTGATCATTTTCTTCTCTTTTTTTCTCTGCTCCTTGAACAGTTGTAGGTTAGTTACCGTGTTAATCAACATTCACTGCAAAATAGAATTTTCTTAGATGGTAATCGAGAGATGCATGAAACTGGGATTATAAAAAAAAGTCATCAGGAGCAAGTTTAATACTCTGCCAATTTACCAATCTAAAAGCAACAAATTTACCACTAACTAGCGCGTCTGTCCTGTGTAGCTATACGTTCTTGGTCTGATAATGGTACCAGATATATGTTTCATCTAGTGGAGTGGGACTTAAACCAATCAGGAAATAAGTTAGGCACTTCCATTATATTCTTGCTACTATTGCATCAGTGGGCATTTCTTGAGATATCAGGCATTGCTATAGCCGGCAGAGTTCACAACTGTGTGTAACTGATTACTTTCCTGCTTGGGTAGCTTGCCTGGGACCTTCCAACACTATAGAAGCTAGCCATTAGACATGAAGCTTCCAGTTTCCTACCAGCTTGCTTTTGGTTTTGTGTTTTCCTTAGGAATAGTCTTATTAATTCTGGGGTTTGGCCACGAGCAGTGGTGACCATGACGTTGTAATAGAAGTTTCCAAACTTTAATGCTGTTTTTCAAAGAACCACTCCTAAATTTCACTGATTTTCCCATTTTTTATTTTTATTTTCACTGACTGTTTCTATTGAGTTTGGTATTTTTTGTTTCTCTTTTCCTTTTTCTTATTTCTTTATAAAGGTATTTTAAACATTTCCTTTATATATGCTACAGGCTATTATTTCATTTCAGTACATCTGTGGGTGCATAGATATGATTCATATATTTAGGACTCTGTGCTAGCTCTTTATCTAATGAACCAGGTCTCTAAAAATTTCCTTTGTGGCATATTTTATAAAATGCTGATATTGCTTCTCCACATCCACTTGTAGAGTTGACCAGTATTGTTTGTTGGTAAGAATACATTTTCCGTAGGAAATTTCGAATATGTATTGCAAACCTGATGGCTCTGTGTGCATGAGCTTCTTTTCTGAGTCTTCTATGTAATTTCATAATCTTTGTACCTGCTTTTGTACTAGTCTGACGTTGGTGAGAAAGGTAACCACATTGACACTTCAATCTTCAGTCATCTTATACTTTGTGATATACATTTTTTTCGTGCATATATGTTGATAGATTTCAGATTCTCATCTGCTACATTACCAGGAAATGGTTTTAACATTTGTGAGTTTGTAAATGTTATATTACATAATGAAAAAAATTTAAGGAATGCTTCTGATTATTAAAGGTCCATATCTACCATCTTCATATAAGTATTAACATTAAGTGCTGAAGGAGATTTTTAAATAGTTTTTAAAAAAAATAATAATCATTCAGGCCTTATTTGGGCAGCAGTATGGATGAGACTTTAGGAGTGCAGCTTCTCTGACATTTCTAGGAGATGAAACCTGACAGTAACCTTTCTGTTTCTCTGGCTCTTAGAACTTTTCTCTTCCCTTTTCTCCATTGATTCCTGAGTATTAGGTTCTGGAGCTGTCTTGTAGCTGTATCAACTGGAGAAATTGTTATCCAGGAGGCTTAGAGGGACAAAAAAAAAAAAGGAGGGGAATGCATTTTAGGAAATAATATTTCAGTTTTTGTCTGCATATGCATTCATCATTTCTTGAAATAACAAATCTGTACTGTAATTGCTACATGTAAATAGAATTATAGCTGAATTTAATACCTGAGTTCCATTCCTCCAATTCTTATGTTTACCCAAGTATAATACAGTTTGTCTTTTCTACTCGAAGATACTAAGTTTGGGTGGGTGTCCTTATGGGACACATATTGTATAACATATTTAGAAAAATATCACCTTTGAACATAAAACTAAGAGTAACTTAAGAGTACGTGCAAAGTGAGAGGCTTTGAGTCTAAATGTGTTCACCCAGTTCCTACATACAGATAAGGGTTGTAACCAGGATGTGACCGTAGGGCAAGCCCGAATCTGTCAGACCAAGAATCCAGGTGAAGTGACAAAATTCTAAAGATAATAATGGACTTTCCACAGGGCAGGGAACCCTGACTGCCCTTCAGACTGGAGAGGGAGGGGGAGAGGAGAGGGAGGAGGGGGAAGGAAAAGGGAGACGGGGAGGGAAATGGGAGGCGGGGAGGAGGCAGAAATTTTTTTTCAATAAAAACTTATATTAAAAAAAAAGATAATAATGGGCCCATTTACCCTCAGCCAGGACAAGCAATGGCAGCTCTCAATACAATGGGATTTGAATAGTAGTAGAGTGTGCCTCAAGATGATGAAGACTAAAGACTCATGTCCAAGTTCACTTTCATTTCTTTGATAAATGTGATCAAGTAAGTTGGTTGGAGAATAGTTTGGTGTGAGATATACTGCAAAGGGATACATTTTCTCATGGCAAAGAAGCTGAGAAAGTGGGTCTCAGGATTTTCCACAAGCAGGAAACAGAGGTATAGAATGGTTTTGATCTATTTCTTTTGTCCTGTATGTTTGGTCTGGGACATAGTCCATACAATGGTTAATCACATGTGTGATGTTAGTCTTCTCTTCTAATTCAGCTAGTTACAGAATACCCCCCCACACACAGAGACATACCTTTTTCTCCTAGATAACTCTAGATGATAACAAATTGCCAATCTTCATTAACAATTGTAAATCCAATTCCTCCCACATGATGTGGTAGTGTGACTGAGCAATTTCTGTCATGTTGTTCAGTATTTGTATGGCTTCCAGCTTGTGGTGTAGCTTTGCTGAAGAGTGGAAAACGAGGGTAGACAGTGAGAGATAAAGAAGCTTTTTGCCTATTTCCATTATTCCTATACCATGTTTTCTATTATAGTTGTGAACGCCCAGCTTCCTGTTCCTGCCATATTTCTACTTCTTGACATGCCTCCATTTTGAAAACACAGTCTTATTCATTTGGAACCACGAGCTTCAAAATATTCCCCTTTCTTTGCGTTACCTTAAGTCATGATTTTTTACCACCACAACTCTACAGTAACTAATAGAATGACATATATACCTGCCATTTTAGAACAAGATGTTTTACCCCCTTCTCCATAAGCTCATAACCTTACCAGAACACATAATTCATTGAGATCATTAATGTGTCGCCAAAGTTTTTTGTGATGTCACCTTTGTTCACAAAGTCCACTGTTTTTTTGAGACACAAGGCAATTTCTTAATTGTGAAGTTCTATAAAACTCAACCAAGATATAGATTTCCAATACCCAATATCTTGAGGAAAGCAGTAGAATTCTAACATGGAAGAACAGGGATATATCAAAAGTGATATAGCACCAAAAAATAATAAATTCTTACACAGCTAAGCAGCAAATCCTGACACTTTGTATGTAGTATCTGTGGCTCATGATGGAATCATTTTGTCTCTAAGGGGCTTGGGTAGCCCTGTCTCTCAATATGTTACTGTATGTAGCTTTTCCATTAGGCTATGTGCACTTCATGCCTGCATCATGCCTCAGTGAATAGTCTGTAGTAGGAGGCTGCTTGTTCGTCTCCTAGCCAACCAGATTCCCTAAATAATCACACAGGGACTGTATTAATTAAATCACTGCTTTACCCATTAGCTCTAGATTCTTATTTCCTTACCCTTACATATTAATTTAACCCATTCCCATTAATCTTTGTATTGCCACGTGGCAGTGGCTTACTGGCAAGAATCCAGAATCTCTGTCTCTGGCAGGGCTACATGGCTTCTCTCTGGCTCTGCCTTCTTTACCCAGCATTCAGTATAGTTTTCCCCACCTGGTTCTACTCTGCCCTATCAACAGGACAAGGAAGTCTGTTTATTAACCAATGGTGTACACAGCATACAGAGGGGAATCCCGCATTAATAGTCCCTTTTTTAATGTCTCACACATCTTGAGGTCTCTATTACAATTTTGGTTTCACCTAAGAACAGCTCACCAATCTTTGAAAATGTATCCAAAG